CTCGCACTGGTGACCAATTAGTACTGGTTCCCCTGATGAGGCTTCCATGGATGAAGCGAGCTTTGCGAGTGCGTCGGCAGCCATATTATCCTCTCTGGGGATGTGGTTTATCTGGAAGTAGTGGAATTTTGTGATCATGTTTCTGGCCATGCTGAGATATTCTTGCATTTTGGCTCCTTTGGTTTCGAACTCGCCTCTCACTTGATTGACTATCAGCTGAGAGTCACTGTAGGTGGCAAGGTGTTGAACCTCCATTTCCATTGCTAACCTTAATCCAGAGAGGAGGGCTTCGTATTCCGCCTCATTATTGGAAGCATAAAAGTGGAGCTTCATCGCATATCTGAGAGTGGTGCCATCTGGGCTGATCAAAATTAAGCCTGCTCCTCCTCCTTCACTAGTCGAGGAGCCATCTACATAGAGTTTCCAAAGCAGTGGAGAATTTGGAATTTGAAGTGGAAGACCGGGGAGGTGCAGCCTGTGATGTCTAGGCATGCGGAGGTGCAGCTTGTGGTGCCTGAGCATCCAAAGGTGCAGCCTGTGGTGCAGGAACTAGAGGTGCAGCCTGTGGTGCCTGGGCATCCTGAGGTGCAGCCAGTGGTGCAGGAACTAGAGGTGCAGCCTGTGGTGCCTGGGCATCCTGAGGTGCAGCTTGTGGTGCCTGGGCATCCAGAGGTGCAACCTGTGGTGCCTGGGCATCCGGAGGTGCAGCTTGTGGTGCCTGGGCATCCAGAGGTGCAGCCTGTGGTGCAGGAGCTAGAGGTGCAGCCTGTGGTGCCTGGTCATCAGAATAAGTTGTTTGGGCTCCTAGGGAGGAGACTTGGGCGCCTGCTTGAGGGTCTTTGTTAGGCTCCTTGATGTCTCCGTTGGGCATTTGGGGATCCTCACTGTTCCCATCTTCTGTTGGTGTGAGTTCAGCTACGAAATCTGTTAGGGCTTGTGCTTTGATGGCCGTCCTAGGTTGGTACTGAATGTCGAATTCCCCGAGTTCTACTGCCCATTTAAGAAGTCTTCCAGACACGTCCGGCTTTCCCAAGATTCTTTTAAGTGGTTGGTCGGTGATGACCACCATACGATGGCCCTGGAAGTAGTGTCGCAGCCGTCTCGCTGTCGTGACCAGAGCGAGTGCCAGTTTTTCTAGTGCTGAATATCTGACCTCTGCCCCCCGGTATGCCCTGCTCACGTAATAAACTGGTTTCTGCACTCCATTGTTGTTTCTAACGAGCACTGAGCTTACCGCTGATGGGGAAGCAGAAAGGTATAGATGGAGAGTTTCTCCAGGGGCAGCATGTGACAGGAGGGGAGGTGCTGCTAGGTAGGCTTTGAGCTTTTGAAAAGCCTCCTCTGCCTCAGGTTTCCACTCAAAGGCTTTTCGGAGAGTTTTGAAAAAGGGGAGACATTTATCTGCAGATTTGGAGACAAACCTATTTAATGCTGCGATCCTTCCATTGAGGCGCTGGAGCTCCTTGGTTGAAGAGGGTGACTTCATGTCAAGAATGGCCTTGATCTTGTCAGGGTTTGCCTCAATTCCCCTCTGATTGACCATAAAGCCCAGGAATTTACCAGACCCCACACCAAAGGCGCACTTCTCAGGGTTGAGCTTCATGTGATAGGACCTCAGGACGTTGAAAGTTTTTTGGAGGTGATCAATGTGGTCTACTGCTGCGAGGCTTTTTACCAGCATGTCATCCACGTACACCTCCATTGTTTGCCCGATCTGAGACTGGAACATCTTGTTCACCAGCCGTTGATAGGTTGCTCCAGCGTTCTTTAGCCCAAAGGGCATGACCCTGTAGCAGTACGTCCCCTTTGGCGTGATGAATGATGTCTTCTCTTGGTCTGGGGGATGCATGCTAATCTGGTTGTATCCCGAGTATACATCCAGGAAAGTGAGCAACTCATGCCCAGCGGTGGCGTCGATGAGGAGGTCAATCCGCGACAGTGGATAACTATCTTTTGGGCATGCCTTGTTCAGTTCTGTGAAGTCGACACAGAGACGCAACTTCCCATTAGCCTTAGTAACCATTACTACGTTGGAGAGCTANTACGATAGAGCTGAAGCACCTTTGACCATGTCTGTAGCCTTTTTTAGCATGTTTTTCAATGGAATATTGGAGCCAATACTGAAGAAAATATCAAATTTGCAGGTGCCACAGATCTATCACATCGCTTGCTATTACACTGAGCTGAAGAGAACCAAAACCGGTGGTTGCTCAAGCACCTCCTAGGATACAGCATGCAGCAACTTATCAATGTCATTCACAACTGACACTAGAACTCTTAAAAAGTTCCTCTTACGAATTTTCATTAAACACCGGCCTTGATCCATAGATGTACTAGAAGTGCAACTCAAAACCTAACCCAACCTGAAACCTAACCTCTTCATTGAACCTCAGAACTAAACAGATGCAACCGATAATGACAAAAACATAAGTATACAACATCATCATGCCAACAAATTCGGTCAGAGTTTTAAGTGCAAATAGCATCACTCAAGCCACCCTACCACTTCAATTATACTAAAATTACTTGCAACGTGACTGCCAGAGTAAAGGAGCTTCAGTTCAACTACTATGATAACGATACATTAATAGAAGATCCTCAAGCATCTTACAGATTAAATGGACGCTCATATGGATCTATCGTAGTTTTTCATTCATACAAACCTTGATGTACACATATCAGCAATTTTTGTCCCTATAGCAAGCATGGCCAATTATAGAAAAATACAGTTGCATAAATAACAAACCCTACTCACACCATTCCAAATTTTGAGAAAGGAAAAGAAAACTGGCAGCATCGACATCTCCAAGTGAACTTCCATCAATCTGCCAGGAGAACAACTCCCAATTATCCTATAGTGAAACGTAAAGTAGATGTGTAGGGATATAATAGACACAACAGCCTGGTATTTATATGCCTTACCTTGGACCTCCTGATGAAGCATTAGAGCAACTTGACTTGTCAACGTGCAGAAAGAGTCTGGCATTAAAGGCGTACATGTCCAAGGGTCAACTGGACACTATCGATGCATTATCTCACCACTTGACTCAAGCCTAGCAATCAGAAGCCATATCTTAAATAATTTTTAGTTCATTTGCAACATTAATCCACCTTTTATCCAGCTTATCTTAATTATTTGCCCACACCTATAATGAAAATCTCTCACATGCTTTGTATCTTATCAATTGGATTCCCTCTAATGTGTTTGCTTACTTTATTCACCTCCCAAAGCATTAGGTATATTTAAAGGCAAAAACAACCAAAACGTAAAGCTAAAAATGCTACAACTGCAACACAATTAATGTAATATGAATTTTGCTACACAGGGGAAATGAAGTTTCTGGTTACTCATGACCAAAAGCATAAGAGAACAAACTAGCCAAGATATATAGCGGCGGTTGTTTCATGAAAGACTTGAAGATTTGCTGCAATACTTCAAATGATAATCATCCATTGTTAATCAAATAACAGTTTGGCAATACCAAAAGACAAAAGCATCAGATATGAAAACAGAAATAGAAAAGGCTGAGAACTCATCAACCAACCCAAAATTCATCTGCACTCAACGCCAACTTCAGCAGCCCTTCGAGGCTTGTTTTTCCGCCTGCTCCCATTTTGTCTGTGGCCAACAGACTTGATTGAATCTTTGGCGTCTGTTTTGCTGCCCACACCATTTTCATCCTTGACTGAATCTCCATTTTCCTTAACCTGTGAAGGCCTCTTCCTCTTCCGGCCATTCTCGTGAGCAGCTTCATTTTTGATAGCTTTATTAGAGATGGAACTTTTTGTATGTTCACCATTCTCTTCTCCTTCTTCTATCTTCTCAGCTTCTTCTTCTTCCTCGATTTCATTCTTCAGTGGTTTAGTTGGCCTTCCTCTTCTCCTAACCGGTATCTTTTCCTCACCACTTCCAGGATCCTCGCGAACAGAATTACTAGCCTGTTTCTTTCCCTTTCCTTTACCTTTACCCATTATCACAACACTCCGTGGATTGAAAACTCAAAAGATTGATAAAAAGATCTGCAATAAAAAATATAGAGAATGAGACAATCCAAATCAAGTTTGACGTACACAAATATTACATCAGATGTACTGCAAAGACTATTAGACAAACAGAAACATGACATAAATCATTTTAACAAAACAAAACATCGGACAAGATTCAGATCAAAGCATCACAACAATCCAGAAAGGAGCAAGCGAAATGCAAACAGATGGGATTAGAACAATAAAAAACACTAACTTTAAGAAGTGGACAATATCCTCCTAACTTATCAAGAAGCAGAATGAATGCGAAAAACAAAAACTTTCCCTTTTTTTCAGCACAAACATTCGTATCTATATTTTCTTAGTCTAATCCATGGAACAGCTATTGAAAATTGAATACATAACTTACAATACGAGATAAACCTTTAGAACCCAATTTTAATGAAGAAAAATTGATGGTCCAAAGAAAAAAAAAACAGGCCAAAATCAATTTCTTCACAAACCACAATCAACAATCTAACAGGCTATAATGAAACCACAGCACAGATTCAAGGTAGAAAGCAAAAAATCAAATAAATAATTCAAGGTAGCATGAACACTTGCAAAGAAGAAAACAAACATACACATATGTTTGTTGGAACTGAACAGACTATCGAAACCCAAAAGGCTTTTCTTTTCTATTAACCAAGGCATCAAATACAGTAAAGCTTCGTATTGAATAGTTGTGTGTGTGTGTGTGAGAGAGAGAGAGAGAGAGAGAGATACAACATGAAGCTGACCTCAATAGAAAGTAAAAACAGCCACCATTTGTACCTTCAGCCAAAAACCCATTTCTCAGAATCTGATGACACCGATCAAGAAACTAACAAAAACCCAACAATCAGAGGGGTTTCTTGGTATCAATCAATGTACCAACAATAATAGAAGTAAAGCAGCCAAAACTAGTATAAATGGTTAGAAGTTTGATCTGACTGATAAATATTGTAAACCCAGATCAGAAAGAAATACAAACTTAGAAAAGATTCAATGAATACATTGAGAATGGAAAAAGATTAGGCTTTGCCATCAGAGATTGAGGAGCTAAGCCAACAAGCAGAGGCAGAGGAAGGCAGAGGGAGGCAGAAGAGCGGACGCAAATAGAAGTAGCGAATGAAAAGGGTATAGGAGAAAGTAGTGAATAGATATCACCAGTCTGAAAAATTATACTATCACCCCCTTCATTTTGACAAAACTATGAAAATTTCCTAATATTTTAGAAATAGCATAGAGAACCTGATATGATATATCATCAACGCACCTTTCATGAAATCATCAATAAAAATAAGTTTTCTATCATCAATTTTTTATTTATTTTTGTTTAATAATCTTAAATTTTTAATTGACTCAAGTAAATGATAGAATGATCATTGCATTAATAATTCTGTTATTTTATTGTCAAAATCAGGGGTGCCAATATAATTTTTCCTAGTTTAGTTCGATAGGTAATGGGTGAAAATTAGGGCAAAGCAAAATTAAGGTGAACGAAAATAATAACTAAAATATATAAAACGAACAAATTTTAAGGAAAATACTTTGATTTAGAATTTAAAATTATTTAATTACATTTCAAAAGTTTCTCCAAATCATCATCTCTTTCGCCACTATCTACCCATAATTTATTTAGACTCATTAAAAAAATAATTTTGATAATTCAATAACTTTTCAAAATTCTTTATTTAACGTTTCAAGTATAGAAATGAGAAAAACAGAAGGTTTAAGAAGAAAAAATTAAAAAAGACAGTTGGTAATAGGTCCCTTGCTTTGGACAGATGGGCTGTGAATTCGTCAATCATGGCGGATGAGATTGGTCCGTGTCGGGTTTTAGTAAGTTGGTGTCCAAATGCACTCTATTTATATTCGATTCGTTTATTAATTTATATCTAATGAGTTATCTCATATTGGATTCGTGTCGTGTATGAATCGTATATAACCAGTATATAAACGAATTACGTCATATATTTTTTTTAATTGAATTCACCAACACCCAATTTATTTATTAATCGTGTTATATTANACCAAGGCATCAAATACAGTAAAGCTTCGTATTGAATAGTTGTGTGTGTGTGTGTGAGAGAGAGAGAGAGAGAGAGAGATACAACATGAAGCTGACCTCAATAGAAAGTAAAAACAGCCACCATTTGTACCTTCAGCCAAAAACCCATTTCTCAGAATCTGATGACACCGATCAAGAAACTAACAAAAACCCAACAATCAGAGGGGTTTCTTTGTATCAATCAATGTACCAACAATAATAGAAGTAAAGCAGCCAAAACTAGTATAAATGGTTAGAAGTTTGATCTGACTGATAAATATTGTAAACCCAGATCAGAAAGAAATACAAACTTAGAAAAGATTCAATGAATACATTGAGAATGGAAAAAGATTAGGCTTTGCCATCAGAGATTGAGGAGCTAAGCCAACAAGCAGAGGCAGAGGAAGGCAGAGGGAGGCAGAAGAGCGGACGCAAATAGAAGTAGTGAATGAAAAGGGTCTAGGAGAAAGTAGTGAATAGATATCACCAGTCTGAAAAATTATACTATCACCCCCTTCATTTTGACAAAACTATGAAAATTTCCTAATATTTTAGAAATAGCACAGAGAACCTGATATGATATATCATCAACACACCTTTCATGAAATCATCAATAAAAATAAGTTTTCTATCATCAATTTTTTATTTATTTTTGTTTAATTTTCTTAAATTTTTAATTGACTCAAGTAAATGATAGAATGATCATTGCATTAATAATTCTGTTATTTTATTGTCAAAATCAGGGGTGCCAATATAATTTTTCCTAGTTTAGTTCGATAGGTAATGGGTGAAAATTAGGGCAAAGCAAAATTAAGGTGAACGAAAATAATAACTAAAATATATAAAACGAACAAATTTTAAGGAAAATACTTTGATTTAGAATTTAAAATTATTTAATTACATTTCAAAAGTTTCTCCAAATCATCATCTATTTCTCCACTATCTACCCATAATTTATTTAGACTCATTAAAAAAATAATTTTGATAATTCAATAACTTTTCACAATTCTTTATTTAACTTTTCAAGTATAGAAATGAGAAAAACAGAAGGTTTAAGAAGAAAAAATTAAAAAAGACAGTTGGTAATAGGTCCCTTGCTTTGCACAGATGGGCTGTGAATTCGTCAATCATGGCGGATGAGATTGGTCCTTGTCGGGTTTTAGTAAGTTTGTGTCCAAATTCACTCTATTTATTTTTGATTCGTTTATTAATTTTTATCTAATGAGTTATATCATATTGAATTCGTATCGTGTATGAATCGTATATAATCAGTATATAAACGAATTACGTCATGTATTTTTTTTAATTGAATTCATCAACACCCAATTTATTTATTAATCGTGTTATATCAGGTTCACTTATTTATAAAATAAGTAGATTAAAAAAGATTTACATCTTCTAATTTTGAATTATATTCGTGTCGTATTAACAAGTTGTATCATATTTAAACCAAAATAAAGAAGAATTATAACCAACATAAGGAAACAATTTGGAAAATTGGTACTCTTACACAAATCATGGATGCATACACACACATATTAATGGAAGTTTTGCATCAATGTTTAGGAGGGTACTTTTTATATACTATTACATGGTGATCTAACATTCACTAATTCTCAACCTAAATAGACAACAATATCGTACTAATTGCATACCAACCTCTTAACTACCTTCTCACGTAATGAATCNGAGGAAGGCAGAGGGAGGCAGAAGAGCGGACGCAAATAGAAGTAGCGAATGAAAAGGGTATAGGAGAAAGTAGTGAATAGATATCACCAGTCTGAAAAATTATACTATCACCCCCTTCATTTTGACAAAACTATGAAAATTTCCTAATATTTTAGAAATAGCACAGAGAACCTGATATGATATATCATCAACACACCTTTCATGAAATCATCAATAAAAATAAGTTTTCTATCATCAATTTTTTATTTATTTTTGTTTAATTTTNTAAAAAAAAAAAAGAAAAGTAAAGTGTGTTGGCTTTAATATATAGCCATTAGAAACTTTAATATAAACAACTAGAAGCGAAATTAAGTATGAGTGTCAAAATATAATACGACTCATTAGTACAATACAAAATTAGAGGGTTTGAGTTTTCTTTAAGCTACCCCTTTCGTAAATGAGTAGACCCGGCTTGACAAAATTAATAAATGAATTGAGTATGAATGAAACAATTAAAAAAGATACACAACACGGCTTATTTATATGTTGGTTATATACAGCTCATTAACAACACGCACCCGATTTGATATGACTTATTAGACACGAATTAATATACTNTTAAGGTGAACGAAAATAATAACTAAAATATATAAAACGAACAAATTTTAAGGAAAATACTTTGATTTAGAATTTAAAATTATTTAATTACATTTCAAAAGTTTCTCCAAATCATCATCTATTTCTCCACTATCTACCCATAATTTATTTAGACTCATTAAAAAAATAATTTTGATAATTCAATAACTTTTCACAATTCTTTATTTAACTTTTCAAGTANCCCTGAGATAGTGTGGATTTCCCCCACAGGCTGCTGATCTTCCTGGTTGTGAGGTTGTGGTACTCGTTCCCTTCCAGCAACGTATTGACGTAAGTGACCACACTGGATAANAAACAGAAGGTTTAAGAAGAAAAAATTAAAAAAGACAGTTGGTAATAGGTCCCTTGCTTTGCACAGATGGGCTGTGAATTCGTCAATCATGGCGGATGAGATTGGTCCTTGTCGGGTTTTAGTAAGTTTGTGTCCAAATTCACTCTATTTATTTTTGATTCGTTTATTAATTTTTATCTAATGAGTTATATCATATTGAATTCGTATCGTGTATGAATCGTATATAATCAGTATATAAACGAATTACGTCATGTATTTTTTTTAATTGAATTCATCAACACCCAATTTATTTATTAATCGTGTTATATCAGGTTCACTTATTTATAAAATAAGTAGATTAAAAAAGATTTACATNCCGTGGTCACGATGGAAGCGGCAATACTTGTTAGGATTTCTGCGATTTGGAGGAGACTTCATTTTTCCAGGCCACTTTATCGCGGGGTCATCCTGGATCTGGAATAGGATGTGTTCCACGGAAGCATTGAGGGGAGTGAAAGGTTGACGGTTCCTCTGAGGAGCAGGACCTAGCCGGTCCTTGACAGGGACTTTCTCTGTCCTGCCATATTTGTTGTTGGTTTCCTTCTTATCGTCCTTCTCTCTTTCCTTCCTTTTCTTACCTGCTCTGAANGAGGGTACTTTTTATATACTATTACATGGTGATCTAACATTCACTAATTCTCAACCAAAATAGACAACAATATCGTACTAATTGCATACCAACCTCTTAACTACCTTCTCACGTAATGAATCATAAAAAAAAAATTGCTATCTATTGTTTATTTGGATTAATATAAAAAAAAAAGAAAAAAGAAGTCAAGTGTGTTGGCTTTAATATATAGCCATTAGAAACTTTTATATAAACAGCTAGAAGCGAAATTAAGTATGAGTGTCAAAATATAATACGACTCATTAATACAATACGAAATTAGAGGGTTTGAGTTTTCTTTAAACTACTCATTTCGTAAATGAGTAGACCCGGCTTGACAAAATTAATAAATGAATTGAGTATGAATGAAACAATTAAAAGAAATACACAACACGACTTATTTATATGTTGGTTATATACAGCTCATGTACAACACGCATCCGATTTGATACGATTTATTAGACACGAATTAATATATTAAATTTGTATGTGTAGAGTGTTTTTTGACACAAACTCGTTAAAATCTAGCACGAATTCACCTCACCCAAACACGATTGAGAGGACTAACATTAAGAATTCATAGTTGCTAAAGAGACATGAAAAATTATATCAAGGACATGGTTTTAGTCTCATTTAGCCTTTTGGATAATCCATTGTTTGTGGGTTGGCTCCATTGAACTGCCAAAAAAAAATACCATAGGCAAGAAATTAAGGTTTTTAATTTAATGGAGACTGAGATGAACTGTAAATTCAGATGTTCTAACTTTGAAACTGAGAAACTCTCTTAGATCCAAGGCCTCCCATGGATTCCCTAGTCTTAGCTTAACTTACTTATTTTTGATCGGACCAAAAGTGATATTAATCGAGGTGCGCGTAAATTAATTTTGACATCTTGACTGTCGCCGAAAGTTTTTTTTTGGTACCGTTCAATCAATTACTAATTTTTGGAGTCAATTGACAAACTTTTAGGAATCAATTTACAACTTTTGGGTGTGACACAAAAATTTTACTTTTTAAGGATTAATCCTAACTTCATTTGTTTTGACTAAACCCTAAAAAAATGTATTTTTACTCACACAATTATAAATTTTGATACTGTACCTACTTCGATACCTTAATCAAACCCCTAATCTCTGTATCAAAAGCCATGGTGGTTACCATCAAATTCACCACAAATATATATAAAGCACATAAAAGTGGAGTTGCAGAGGCAGTGTGGCTGATGTGGTGACCAAAAAGGACAACTTTGCAAAATCATGCTCTTCTTCAAGAGATCAACATTACATGGTCCCCGTTCAAAGCCAAAAGAGTAAATCTTAAGCCTTATGATTTAGAATATTGACCAAAACATCCATACTAATACACAAAATCGAGCTAGAGTGTTGGGACATGGGGGGTACTACTATACGAATCGGATTATATTTCGTTATAGTAAGCGTAGACGTAAGAATTAAGAGTTATTTGTCATTATATTTTTCAGAGGTTTAGTTGTCATTATGACTATTTATTTTTTTTAGAGTTCTTTTAGGATTTGTGGTCTCCCTATATATATATATATATATATATATATATATATATGTTATTTATTTTGGATAGACTTTGATTATTGATATTAAATCTTCTTTCTAAAATTCTCTCTATTCTTGTATCTTTTTTCTTATTTCTTCTTCCCTTTTCATTTCTAATAAGATCTACATCAATAGTCTTCTCGCATAGCGGAAGGCCACCGGAGGAGATACAATTAGCTGTGACTAACAAAGATATTCCTTGCTTGGTGGTTGAATTTCAAGCTGATTGGTAGCTGTCCACGTTTCACCAGGTGTTGGGCACCACAAGTTCAGCCAATCAATTTTCAAATTACGGTATTTTTAATTTTCTCATATTACGATCTCAAAGAAATAAATAATGTTACAATATAAAATGAAATGAGGTTGAAATTTACAACTATTTACTGTCGAGGATAAGCTCATGTTAGTTGTCACTAGGTCACTCCCTCACCTCAGATTATAACTTGTTTATATAAAAATATATTATGTATTAGAGTTTTTTAATAAAAAATTATTTTTTGTAAAATTGCGCTTCCATTTTTTTTTACAAAATATATATCAAATTTGAAATGAGTGAGTTCAAATCACATTTTTTTGGTAAATAATGAAAAATCTCAAAATATATTAAAATTCACAGTATAAAAATTCTAAAAAAGGACAAAACGACCATATTTAATTAAAAATTTGGACAAATCTCACTTTGTATCTAAATGAATGTTTCAAATTTTAATTTGTACCCTCAAACATTAAAGATATTAATTTATACCCCCAATTTTATGGATTGATAGATATATAATCCTCGTCTAAACTGCCGGTCAAGTTTTCATTATTTTGGAATATAGGAATCTCTATATTATTACCCCCATTATGAATAGGACAGAGGAGAAAAATTTACATAAAATATTGATAATTTCCGCCTGGCAAAGGATTATTCTCTTTTTATGTATCATAAACCAAATTAGGATTTCAACTTGTTACCTTAAATTCTAGGACTTGACTACGATATCAATAAAAAAAAAAAAAATTGAATTCCATACTTCCAAACTTTACTACTTCAATTGGTACTTTTACAATTTTTGCAGAATATTTTTCAACTAAAAAATTTATCACTTTTATGAGTATTTTTATCACCTTTATAGTAATTATTTTTACCACTTTTTTTTTAACACATTTTTTTACCACATTTATGNTCTTGATGACGTGCTAAGCAAGAAGTCTAGCCGGTCTTGGACTGTCTTGGGCTTGGTGGAATCACAATGAAGTTGGGCTCCTCAACTGGGATTGGACTTTAACACATAAATTAGACTATTTAGGCTTAACCCATCATTTGCCCCCCAATACCCCATGACTATTTGAGCTTAACCCATCAANTTGTTTTGACTAAACCCTAAAAAAATGTATTTTTACTCACACAATTATAAATTTTGGTACTGTACCTACTTCGATACCGTAATCAAACCCCTAATCTCTATATCAAAAGCCATGGTGGTTACCATCAAATTCACCACAAATATATATAAAGCACATAAAAAGTGGAGTTGCAGAGGCAGTGTGGCTGATGTGGTGACCAAAAAGGACAACTTTGTAAAATCATGCTCTTCTTCAAGAGATCAACATTACATGGTTCCCATTCAAAGCCAAAAGAGTAAATCTTAAGCCTTATGATTTAGTATATTGACCAAAACATCCATACTAATACACAAAATCGAGCTAGAGTGTTGGGACATAGGGGTACTACTATACGAATTGGATTATATTTCGTTATAGTAAGAGTAGACGTAAGAATTAAGAGTTATTTGTCATTATATTTTTCAGAGGTTTAGTTGTCATTATGAATATTTATTTTTTTTAGAGTTCTTTTAGGATTTGTGGTCTCCCTATATATATATATATATATATAT